CACACACACTCTCTGCCTGGGTTCAAGTGGGATACCACTCAAGTTTACATGTTAATAAGCTGTTCCTGTCTTGTTTTCCAATCCAGTGTCCTAAATCAACATTTCAGGAAAAGCTGAAAGTGGCTTGGTTTTTTTTTTTTTTTTTTTTAATAATTTTTAAACGAAGTTTTAAATGATTAAGTTGACAATTTCCTCAACAAGCAAAGCTCCAATCACACAGTTGTGTTTATAAACTCAGTATTTGGAGAGGTTAAAACTGTTTGCAGTGCTAAATGTGCATTCAGCCTACAGCTCTTTCACCATCAGCAGAATAGGATGAGCATGTGATGTTTGTCTTCAGGATTTTATCAACAATAAGTTATTTACAAACCAAAACTCTCCCACAAACAACAATTCAACATTTCCAGATGTAGAAAAACACACAAAAAAAACAAATGAGGTTTTTCAGAAGACTACACTGATCATCAGCTTTTAGACCACAGGGCATTCAAAGGACAATAAAGTTAATAAAGTTTGGTCCAGTTTTTACAAACATCTGCAGCATAAAGCTATATTTAAACGTGCATGTGTAGCTGCCTCACACTGCCAGCATGTGTGTTAGTCCATGTGCTCTTCGTGGGTGACCCAGGCCTATTTGTTTGGTTGTTGTGTGCAAAGTCTGCCTCATGGGGGCGCCATTGTCCTACAGCATCATGCTTTACTCATGTCTCATCAATGCCTCAGTTTTAAGAAAGTGCCTCAAGTGACGGATGTTTAAATGGTTTTTGATGCCAGAACAGAGGAGAGAATAGGTGAAAGATAACAGTGTTTATTTTCTGAATTACTTTAAGAGTGTGCACAATAAGATATTTACTGTTTCATATAAAGAATTGTATATGCCTTGAAATGTTTATGTTCAAAAATGTTCAAACTTTATAAAACATTTGGTAAAATTAACTTGTGTGTTGTATTTAATGATTGAGGTAAATGTTTGTAAACAGCCATTAACCGACTCTGGGTCATGAAAACGTTTTTACTGTTGACTGCTGAACTGAAACAGCATTAGCTTTTGTGTTATTATTAACATACGTTATTGACAAACACGTTTTCAGCTAACTAGTTTCATCCACCAGTACAAGTCCACATATAACAGTTATGACACTTGGTAAAATATTCCATTTTCTTGAGAAGGACATTTGTCTTGGAAGGCCAGAATTCAAACCCACATCTCCTGCACCATTGTACAGCTGTATTCTCCCCAGGAACATTGCCATGGAGAAGTGTGCTAGGAACATGCACTCGTGGATGAAACCATTCCATGGAAGATTAAACACGTTATGTTGGGCTTGGAGAGTTAGGCCCTAAGTCTGTCAGTACACATGATGCAGAAAGAACAACTTTAAATTTAACTTCTCTCACAACGCTGTAAGTTGGATTGAATCATATCTGCAGAATCAAACACAATCTGTATCAGTTAACAACTGCAGATCTGACTCTCTTAGGTTAAGCTCCGGAGTCCCTCAGGGGTCAATATTAGGCCCCATTTTATTTAGTCTTTATAGTAATGATTTGCCCACTGTTGTGAATACTTAATGTATGCAGATGACACGGTTTTCTTTGTTCATGGTCGTACCAAAGAAACTGTTGCTGCTAAACTCATTAAAACAATGTCCTGTCACAACTTGGTAGCAGGAGTGCTGTCTACAGCTAAACGTTTCTAAAACTGTAGGCATGTATTTCACTAAAATAAATAGAATATCACCTGACCCCGATATACATGTTTATGGAGAAAAAATACAAATTGTCAGCCAATATAAATATCTTGGGCTAATTATAGATTCACAGCTCTCTTTTAAAGCCCATATTGATAAACTGTGTAAAAACAATCAAGTTAAATCTTGCAAATTTTCGTGCAATTTAAAATGAAATGTCAACTGAAGCTACAAAAATGTACTTGCATTCGATGATTTTCAGTCACTTCAACTATTGCCTAACCAGATGGTCCCTGGCTGGTCAAAGTGCAAAAAAAACGTTGGAAGTCTTGTACAAACAAGCAATTAAAGTTTTGAATAGAAAATCTAGGTACTATCATCACTGTACAATTTAAAAAAAATACAGCATTTTAAACTGGGACAGTCTTCACACATTTGCAGACTTAAAATTGATTTATAAAGTACTGCATAATTTGGCTCCAGATCCACTGGCAGAGCTCATCAGCCAAAGAAAAAGCTCTGAGTGGGTCACTCGAGGCTCTGTCAGAGGTGAGTGTTACATTCCTCTGTGCAGGGGCACTTTTAGTCAGTTGGCATGGTCAGTAAGGAGTGCGAGTGCAGGGAACTGCCTACAATATACAAGACCTTCACAAAAAATTGAAAATGTAGCTTATCAACACCTACAGCTGAACACTAAAAGATAGGCCTGTTGTGATGTTTTAATGTTATGATCAAATGTTATGTTGTCATATGTTGTAATGTCATTCTTTCTTTGTGTAGTAAGAGTTTTGTAAATATAATACATAACTCTTACTATACAATTAAGAAAGAATGACATTGTATGTGTGCTTTCTGTCTTCTTATATCATGGCCAGGGGACTACAGATGAAAACTAGCCTTCTGGCTAACTCTGGCTTTTTTAACCATGTGTAATCATGTGTTTTATGAAATTGCATTGTCCCCTTATAAATAAACTAAACTAAAATTTAAAATATGAAGTGCATAAAATACAAACAGCTATCCTTGGGCTAAACGATGGAACAAGATAAACGCCCCAAGTAAGGCAAAAATTACACAAGGCAGAACACTTGTAGAGCGATAACATTTACTGTGAAAGGCAAAACAGTAGTAAATTGTCCTGAAATCCTGAAAAGTTGCCGGTTACCAATCATGATTCACTTCTTGACCGGGCATCGAAATGAAGTTTTTATTTTAAAAACGGCACCTACCAGTTTCCGTACATCTGCCAGTCAACACAACCACGCCACTGTAGACCACACAAAGTATGAGTAACAGGAGACACACAGCATCATTCCGCTAAATAAACCTTTGATATAACCTTTGAATGGGAACTATTAGCACATAGCGGCAGCGTTTAAACGCAAACGAAGCCTTTACTCGGGTACGTCTAATAGAGGTATCCTAACAGAGGATTGGAACAGCGAAAACCTCGCCGGAACCCATGCAAAAAAACAAAAAAAACCAAACCGGAAGTGGCATGCTTAAAGTTGACTATACAGGCAAAAGGGACACGGCACTAGAATGCAAACAGCGCCCTATCCGGTCAAAGGTCTTTTTTTTTTTTTTACATTAAATAATTATTTTACAATAACAGTGCTTTTCTGCAATTTAATTTCTTATTATTTGTATTATAACACCTTTTGACTTGACTTGCCTTGTTTTAATACAGATTAAATTAAATTAAAATTAAATTATTTTAAAAGATAATGGCAAATATTACCCTAAATTTCAGCAATAAATTGTATTTTAATATTTTAATCAAAGGAAACTAGGTTTTGTTTCTCACTTCTCAGGTGAGAACAAATCCTAACGTTAAAATAGTTGGAGAGACAGAAGATGTTGATGAGAGAGTGTCTACAGAAGCTAACAGACCAATAAAGAAAAGAAAAACATTTAACTTGTTTCAACCATGGGTGGGAGAATGTGGGAAAACGATATATGGTACTGCTATAGTAGCTGCTCCCTATGCCCAGTTAGTATTGTGGTACAATATGAAGGCAGAACTGTTACCACTGAGGTGCTCTGGGTATGGCACCGTCCCCACTCACTGCTCCCCGGGCGCTTAAAGCTGCCCACTGTTCACTTTGGTGATGGGTTAAAAGCAGAGGTCACATCTGGTTGTGTGCAGTGGTGTGCTGTGTCACGATGACAAGGACTTCACTTTCCTTTCCTAGAAATAGTAATAGTGGTTGCAGTAATACTGCCATCTGAACAGAATGTCTGACTGTGACCGAATCTTTCATATGACTCGTGACTCCCGAGTCATACGAAACATTTGTTCATATTGAACTCACGAATCACTCACAAATCACTCTCTGCGAACTAATCTTTTTAGTAACCCTCATTTTAATTGCTTATGACATTTTGTGTACTTTGTAGACTTTGTCAGCGGAAGCAAACAATGTTGCCTTCAGTATTTAGTGTCGGAGAACCTCAGCCTTCTTTACAACGCCCACAATAGGGCTAAAGTGCCACCTGCTGTAAAACGAATGAAATTATTCGTTTAAGATTCGAATCAGCAATCAGTTTCACTTTCATTTTGACGTATCTTAAGCCAAGTCTTACGATAAGTACAGAGGAGAGAAGCATACAACCCTGATTTTACTTTCACAGTCAGACATTCTGTTTAGAACTGCAAAGGCAAAGCTACCGTCTTCAGTCAGGTAGGTTTACATCGAGTACTGATTATTTTTATAGTAAGGAATCTGTTCTAAAGCTGTACTTAAAAGGCAAAGTTAAAGAACAAGGTTAGAAAGTGGATGTTTCACATCATGATTAGATCAGTTACACCTTAATTCTCTAAATTCTCATTTTTATATTTCAAATGTCTTCTTTACAGCAATGGGAAACTGTAAGTCCTATCCTGTTCTATTTGAGCACAATGATCTAATGCTTAATTATATATACAGTATATATGTTATTTTTATGTGTTGCATGTTATGCCTCTGTCTACTGTAGCGGATTCTAGTCAGCCTGAGCCACTTTACAAAGAACCATGGAGGATGCTGAGGTAAGTCTGAGTACCCACGAAAACAACCATGGTTACATTTATATATATATATGTATATATATATATATATATATACATATATATATATACAGTATATCTATACACATATATATACATATACATGTACTGTATACTGTATATTACTTCTTTTTCTTCAGTGGGGAAACAATTCTGGATTTTGTGAAAGGCTATAGACCTAAAAACAGTGACGTTGAACATATCCGAATTCTCCTTCATGGACCAGTCGGTGCTGGGAAGTCCAGCTTCATCAACTCTGTTGACAGTATCTTACAAGGCCACATTTGTGTTCGAGCCCCCGTAGATGGAATATCTACAGAAACTTACACCCAGGAGGTAAGAAGTAATACAAAAATGGAAAAGTTTGAGCAAAATGTGTTCAATTGTCCAAGTGCTTTATTATTATTATTATTACTGTTGTTGTTAGGAGTAAAGAAAATAAAAGCAAAACGATAGATTGATTCTACAAAGTGAAAGCAAAAGTAAAACTTCCTCTGCAAACATGCCAAATACCTGGAGCCTTTCTTTTTTGTTCAGTTCTTTCCATAAGCGAGGAATTCTACTTCAGAGAAATAGTAGACTGATGAAAACACTTGTGTTTTCTGCTTTATTACAGTACAAAACATACAAAATCTCTAACGGTGACGGCGGATTCTACTCCTTTGTTTTTAATGACACCATGGGTTTAGAAAAAGACTTCGACGCTGGGGTCATGGTGGAAGACATGAAACTTCTCTTGGGAGGACACGTGGAAGAAAATTATAAGGTTAAACATTCATTTAAATACAACAACAATCAAGTTATTTCCCTTTTTTTAGTCAAAAACAGCATAGTCCTCAAGTGATGTCATTCACTCAGATGTTATCTCACTTGTTGTTTCAGATGTCATTCATATCACGCTATGGCTGTCATATAATATGTAGGAAACATTATCACCTCTGAAAGATTACAGCAGGTCTCACTTAAACTTGTTGGTTTTAAATCCCTTCTAGTTCCAGTCAAACAGATCTGTGAGGGAGGCTGGCTACAGACACAATCCCACACTGCAGGATAGAGTTCACGTCTTGGTTTTTGTTGTTCCTGCCGAGAAAGTGAAATTGCTGAGTGATGAGGTTTGGAAAAAGCTGAGGGAAGTCAGACTCGAAGCACGCCAAACGGGTAAATACTGACATCACAACAATGATGAATGATGGAGCCGTACTCCTACTTTAATCTTCTTCAGTTCAGAACAGAAGGTTTTGAAATGTGTTTGACTCAACATTGTCAGTCAAATACTCTAACAATTCAGTATTATTTAAGTTGCTCAAGTAATTTGTAGACAACTAATACTAGTACATACTAAATGTAATTCCTACTGCAGTTTTTCTGCACAAACACTGCAGCTGCTCAACCATCCATGGTGCCATTCTCTGACTCAAGACATACTGTCTGGCTCCAGTTATGTTGGAGTTTTACAAATGATTGGTGTGAAAATGTCCCGTTGTGGATTCTACCCTTGTGTGTACAGTACAGCATGGAGTATGAATATGCATATCACCATTGGAAAGTCAAGCCATATCTTTTCTTACTAAGCAACATGCATTCATAGATTATAGATGGTGCAACATTGTTTTAAAGTACAATTGTAGTATATAGTAAAAAGAGCTATTTTGTATACTAGGGTTTCATTATGAACTTTGTTTTCTTTATTTATTGTCAGGAATTCCGCAGATTGCTCTTATCACCAAAGTCGATGAATGTCCTGAAGTGGGAGACAAGATTGAAAATGTCCACAAGAGCAAGAACCTGAAGGAACAGGTACTTTTCAGAAGAAAAAGACTGTAATTCTGTTGTGGTCTACCTTTTCTGAAGAACCACTCTTTGTAACCTAGGTCGAGCTAGTTCACAAGAGCTTGGGTATTTCACCAAACTGCATTTTTCTGGTGAAGAACTACCACCAAGAACTACAACTCAACAACGACACCAATCACCTGATACTGACAGCACTGAAACAGATGCTTCATTTCGGAGAGGACTTTCTCAACAACTTGCAAACCAACTAACTGTAAAATGCAAAACAACGATTCAAAGCATTTGTTTATTGTTTTTAAAATCATTATAATCTAGATGGCATTCTTTTGTCACATTTTTCTTGTCTTAAGTATTGGAGGGAATTATCTTTTACAGTCACATGTAGAGTTCAATCACATGAACGTCAACTCTCCTCGGCTATTTCTTTACGATAATGATTCTTATCTTTTTAAACAACAACATTTAAGTATTTCAGGCTCTGACTGATTGTCCAATCATTTTCTTTTTTATCACCACTACCTGCCAGTTGGTTTGTTATAAAGTCCTGGAAGTAGAAGATCTTCAAACTGAGAGAAAAACTCTCCAAAAATGACTGAAATGCAGTGTGTGTGTGTGTGTAATTAATCTTGATGTTAAATGCCAAAGTGAGTGGCCAATATGAAAATGAATGTCGACTTTATTCAAGTAAAAGTTTTCAAATACTAGGGCTGTGTTTAATCATATCATTCACATATATAGAAACAACTTTAAACAGTCTAAACAGTCTAACAGTCTAAACAGTCTAACAGTCTAACAGTCTAAATCTAAACAAACATCACAGTGAATCATAATGAGCAGTGTTACATTTCTATGTAAAAATCTGTCAACAACCATCCTTGTGAAATGAACACATCTGAAGTCTCTGTTATTCAGTGCAGCAAATTGCCTGAGCTTTAAAAAGCATTACTTCTCAGTTTTTTCCTATTTTGTTTTTTCACGCATCACAGCAAAAATAAAAACTTCACGAAAGTCAGCGTTCAGCTCCGTTTGTTGATTCCTTTCTAAATATTACAGCAGTGTCTCGTCTGTGAATGGTAAGCTCAATGAAATGCTAACAGTTCAGTCTCACCGTTCACTCATGTTTGTCACACTGGGAGCATCTCTGTCTTTCAGTCTGGCAATATTACGTATCACGTTCAATTACAAAACTGTGTGTATCAGACAGAATGTTTATGGTGACTATGAGGTGACTATGTCCTTGTCACATGGTCAGCTGTTTCTAAAAAATATTCATGTTTAAGTAAAAACCTTATTTTCGCACCTATTATTAATGTCATCACTACAGTTTGATGTGTGGCCTCTTTGTTGTGTGTTGTTGTCAGCTTCTATCATTCTTGGAGGAGGTTCAGACTTTAAAACTCACTCACAGGAGACTGGGACATGTCCAATGGACAGACATTTTACCTGTTAGGGACAACATACATGATACGTTAAAAAAATCTCTACAACAGTGGTTCTCAAACTGTGGTACATGTACCACCAGTGATACACGAGCGCTCTCTGGTGGTACACGTGGAAAATGGATAATTCATATAAATCTGAAACATACCACGCACAATTAATACAACATTTAGAAAAAATGTGTAGCTACTTGTGAGATTATGAAATAGGATGTCTGGCCTTTTTATTTATTGTTTTTTATTTATCGTTATTGTTATCTGTTGCTCACGTAAGCACAGGCAGCACGGAATCATGGGATCACTTTCAAGTTGAACGTGGATCGAGCAGGGGAAATGTAACATAAATGTAAGGGGATAAATAAATGTAGTATGTAGGCTAACTTCAAAATGAGTGGTTCAGCAACACTCAAAGTGGAACAATTAAAAAGAAGAAGACCAAGAACAACCAAGCACAACTGCTAACAAAAATGCAAGAGGCAGCGCTGACATATGACTCTAATTATATCAAACTTGGATTATTTTGGAGCGGGACCAAAGAAGAGCCTAGGCCGCAATATGTGGTGTGTGGCGAAGTCCTCAGTAATGATGTGTTAAGGTAACAATAAATATCCATCATAATTCATGAACACCTCTCCTGTGGTGGAGCTAATAGTGAAGGCCTCTGCTGCTATATTCTAATGTTGGTCATCATTGTGGTAGTCAGAGAGCTCAGTGTTTTCTCAGATGGCACAGAGTAGAAAAGGTTTGAGAATCATTATATTATTGTTTTTTTAAGGCACTGGAATAAGGTCTAGAAAAAAGTATTATTTTCATTTTGCAAAAAAAAAAAATAAATACGAGAGGTGAGTGACATTTGAGGAATAAACTCAAAGTTCAAATGTTTAAAATGTTCATTAAGAAAAGCAGGAGACCTCAGTAGGGTACATGACTCACTAACTGCATGGACACCGAAGCCTGATCCACTATAGCCCAGTACTAACAGATAACATGGACAGTAGACCCCGGTAGCACTGCTGTTGAGCGTGTGAATATGTCTTGACTGTGAGGCAGAGGTTTTATTACTTTGCCTTTTCTGTTTTCTCCATTATTTGGTTGTAAAACAGTCTGTGTTAGAATTTAAGGTTAAAGAGATTTGTCGTCTTGAACTAGTGCAGACCTCACACTAGTGTACCTAGTTGAGGTTTTGCTGGCTAAACACTCTGTCTGCTATCTCCTCCTGCTGCTCCTTCTTCTTTTGTCTTTACACCACTACCAGAACACACCGGTGAGTTAAGCGTTCAGACAGTGTGGAAATGCTCAATTCATTTGGGAAATCATGATTAAATTCAATTCATTGCACAGCCCTAGTGTCCAGACGAAGTATTTTACTGTATGTAATACTATATATATTTTGATATTTATATAATGACATATCATATTTTTGTTCCTTACTTAGTTACTTTTTTTAAACCAAATACATTGACACTCACACAATAATGGTGTGAGACAAGAACGTTGTGTGTATGTGTGTGTGTTCCTACCTAAAAACTGAGCGGCTCCTCCACTGACCCTCCCATCTGTAATAAGGCTGTACTAAGTTCATTCTTCAGGGATGAATAGTCAGGCTGCTCAGTGTACTGCAGAGCCATCACTGCATTCAGGTAAGACTGAAATGAACCTTCACACACAAAAAGACATGTACAACAAACTTCACTAATCCAGTTCTTTCAAATACTGCAACAATTTTGTAAAATAGTGAGAAATAGTAGAAATATTTGTATTTACTGGACACTTCTGCCTGACTGAAGCAATGGCCCAGCAATGCAGGGACATCATTCATGTATCTGCATTCAAAACCCTAGTTAGTTTTTGGAACTTTGGTGGTTGTGGGTTAGTTGTTGGTTAGCCAGTATGTTAAGTACAAGTATGTACTTTAACAGTAGTAATTTTTCATTCCTCACCATCAATCAAACGTCATCAAAAAACTCTCCATCATTTTAAATATAGACAGTACATGGCATTTAACAATCTATGATAAACTTTGGTGACTGACCCTCTAACTTTTAAATGTATCAGTATTTATTGCAGTCACTACAATATATACGTAAAGCATTTAAAACCTGTTTCTGTTTCAAATGTGCATGGACTTGAACACATCTCACCTTTGTTTTAGGGTGGCTACCTGTTCCGGCTGAGTGAGGTCTGTCCACGGGAGCCGACCTGTATGCCATCGCAACATGCAGTAACCCAGGGACTGTAGGTCACTGCGGCGTGAAGGTGCTGAAAGGCAAAGTAATACTCTATAGACCAGGGGTCACTAATGTGGCGCCCAGGGTCACCTGGTAGCCCCCGTGGACTACCTAAGGTGCCCGCGGGGTATGTTAAAAAAATAAAACTAGTCAACAAGAGGATCAAAAAAATGGTACTGTTACTGTGCTTTTTGGATCAGTTACACTTGCAAAGATAATGGGTGCCATGAAGATGGTAAGAGGAGTGTCTGCTATTGTATGTTTCAGAACTAATTATTGTTAAATTGTTTGGGATGTTTGTATCAGACAAGTAGCTCATCATATTACTAAGTGCCCTTGAAGTAGCGTTCAGTTTCATAAAGGTTGGTGACCCCTGCTCTATGGTGTAAACAGCCTCATAGAAAAGAGTTGGTTGAATAAAGTGCAGGAAAAGTTAAGGTTGAACAACATTTTCTCATTTTAAAAAACAAACCAACACCACAGTCACAGATATAAAATAGAAGAAATACAACAAGTAGATGTGCAAAGCTATTAACAGCAAATTAGATGGCACTTTGCTCGTCAAACCTGTTGTTATGCTAATTCAGTAGAGATGTAAACACTAGCATTTTTATTTCCAACCACAAAAATATAGCCTTTTGTTATTTAAAAGATCATTAAAGTGACAAACCTGCTCCTTTGTGTGTGTCCAAGCTAATGAACTCCAGAGCACCCTCGTGTGGTGTTCTGCTTTCTTCTCGATAATTAACATGTTTGCCTGCGGGACAGTACCTAAAGGCATGGTAGTATCCTGCAAGGTAAACCTAACACATGCACACATATAATTAAATAACTCTTTTGGATGAACAGACTATAAAAAAGTCAAAATATTCCTCCCACCTCTGATGTCTGTCCTGCACCAATGTAGATGTTTTCTGCACTAATATTGGCGTGAACATATTCATTTGAATGGACAAACATTAGAACATCCAGCTGTAACAATGGAGACATGTTTTAGTTCATGTTCTATTTTGGCATTTGACATTTGTTTAGATTATGATGCGAGGAGACTCACTAGTCTACAGGCCAGTTGAAGAACAGTTTTTTCAGGTAGACCATCGTTTTCCTCAATCACAGACTGTAGAGGCTGGCCCATGTTTGGAAAAACCAGAAACCTGTTGAAAATAACATATGATGTCATTTGTGTACATACTGTGTGAAGAGTCAAAAAGAAACATTTCCAAACCTGTAAGAATCTGCATGAAGGCCAAAGGCAACACATATAGGAATCCCCAGAAAATCCATCTTGTTAAGTTTGATCCACTTGTCCACTAGAAAGAAAGAATACATTTACCATAGAGAGTTATTATGAGTGGTGCCAACCAAAGTATATCCACATGGTCTGTCAGCCAGACCCTTTTTTAGACAAAGTTTCTAGCTGTGTGAACTGTGTTAAGAGATTAAACTAGTTTTCAACAGAGAAGCCAAACGTTTAAGAACTTAAGTGTGATGCGTATCTCTATAAGTATCAATAAAAACAAACTAACAGCTTCACCATTTGGCTGTTTAGCAGTTCTTTGTAGAAAGTTCTGCTCAGTGAAGATTCGTCCATCTTTGGATCCCTAAGAATAAATGGATAAAAATTCAATTAACAAACAGGAAGACAATATACACCAACTTGTTGACCAATATATTTTAGATAGTCCAATATCCATCCCTCGTTGCAACCCACAGCGCCATCATGTATGTGGTTGCAACTCACACACTGCCACACAGGAGGCGCCATTAAGTATGTGGTTTTTCTTGGGCTCAAACCCAGGACATTTTACATGCAAGGCAGGCAAGATAACCACTACACCATAGTGTATCCATTTACATCTGGACACTCACCAGTTTGAGAACATGACATGATTCCTTTGATCTGGAAGCCGACTGAACAACTGAAAAAATTAAAAAATACAAAAAAGTACTACATTTAGTTGAATCATTTTTAAGTTCAATACAAATACACAAATTACAATAACTAATTAAATCAATGGAGAGCTTTTTCACTCAATTTCACACTTTTGTGTTATAAATCACGTACACATCAACAGACATTTAAATCTTTCATCTGCTTTGTTCAAATCCAGAGTGAAGCCACCAATCAGCCCCTTGTCTTACCTTCATAAATGACCTCTGTCACAGTTTGACTGAGCAGCTTCACCAGTTTCCACTTCTTGCCCACTGTGTCTGTCACCTCTTCTCCTTCCTCAAGGGGCTTCACAGCAGGTGCGTGCTTCATCTTCTTCATTTTATTTTTCCCTGTTTCTGTACATTTTTTTTCAACATTCAAATTAAATCACTGTGAAACGATTGTATTACTCTATTTCTGAGAGTAATGAAATTTGATGAGGTGAAAACACTGCCTCACTGCTGATCAGTGCAGTATCCCGTTAAACACTGTACCAAATACTGTTGATAGATATATGGCAAACATTTTTGGCCATTCTTGTAACCTTCCGTTGAATGGTAACAGCAGCAGATGTTGAGTGAGTGCAGTCGACTGATAAGTGAGAGCGTCAACTCACGTTTAGAAGGAGAGCCAGCTCCTGGTGAACAAACGGGAGAAAGGACAAGAGAGACATCTCCTGAAGACAAATCCAATCTGGCTCTTTTTACTCCGGCCGTCACTCCTTCTACCAGTTTTGAAGCAGGACTGGACAGCTTGGTCTTTCCCCTGACTAAATGGAACCAGCAGCAACAGACATCCAACAGGCACATGGTGAGTGGCCACAGCAGAAGATGGATTCAACATGGGTTTCAAAATTTGACAAAGAAAATGTTCTGGCTTACGGTGTGAGTGACCTGGAGACTCCAACAATGTCTCATTTTCTTCTGCAAAACTAACAGTGTGGTGCTTCTTTGGAGATATGTTGGATCCTTGGCTCTCATCTGTACATATACGTCAGGTTCTTGGTTCAAAAACCCTTTCTTCTCATATTGGGAAATTAAACGGGCTAAAAGCTTTACTTACCTTGAGTTATATTATCCCCGACAGGAGGAAGAACAGCATCTGTAATATTCAGCTTCACTTCTCTTTCTAGACGGAGGGAGTTGCGTGTCTTTCGCAGTCCAGGACGAGCTGCTACTAAAAGTGAGGTGCTTAATTCAGGAGCTGTAGAAAAAACATTTCCAGTTTGGTTGTGTACAATGCAAAAACCTGTATCTAAGACACATTTGAATTAAGGAATTAAGAAAATGTACCCATGGCATCTATTGGATCATATTTTGTGTCTAAAGCAGGTGATTCTTCAGCTCCTGGTGGAGTTGCTTCATCCCTTTCCTGCGAGGAAAAACTTGAAGACGCATCCAAACTCCCTTCTGCAGATTCCTCTTCAGAAAGAAGCAGCTTCTTTCCACAACACGGACAAAACCTGAAATCAGGCTCCAAGTTGATCCCACAGTATGGACAGAATCTGAAAGGCATTCTGCAAAATGAAACACACACTTATCATTTGTTTATTCAAACAATGCTTTTTATCACTTCTACTGTATTCTTGTTAGGAATAGTTATAATTAAGCTGTTTTTTAAATAATTAATGATATTGGTCATTCACAGTTAGTCAACAAGTGAAGGAGCATCAAAAACCTTATGTAAGGATTCTAGTAAAGAGGAATTATTTGCCAGTCATTTGTTTGTGTGCTCATGATTAATCACAGACCTGTAACAGACACAGTCAGTAAATGACAATGTAATATTATTGGACACTATAATGCTTTGTAGGACACATCATTCCAACATTATGAAATGATAAAGCACAACATCCATCTACACAATTACCTTTTGGGTATTTACAGAACTCCGATTCAAACCTGGAAACATCCAAATTCTTTGACTAAGACAATGCTTTTAATTTACTAATGACTTCTTTTTTTATCACTGTGTATTAAACAAATCCTCAAACTAACAGCCAAAAGTTAAGCCACTATGCATTTCCGGTATCAGAGGTGCAGTTTGATATTTAACGGACAATCACAACGCAGCAGCTGAAGTTTTCTGGAAACCCCGGACAGAAAAAGAAGACATGTTTTGGACATTTAAGAATGCAGAAAAGCAGTTGATCAAAGGAGGCTGACCAATGGATTCTACACAGACCTTAACAAAAGGCTGTGGCAATAACTGGGCTGGAGGATAAAGCGAACAAAGGATGACAGCATAGCAACAGTGGGATGCCAACTGCCATAAAGATGATGCAGCAAACATCCATGTGAGTTCATGGGCTGTTGAATTTTGTGCTTTTTAGCAGTGCAACTGACAGTTAATGGTTAAACTATGTACTTCCTTGTTCTTTGGCAGCCAAATATCATGCATGCATCATGTATGCACACAATGAAAATAAGAAGACACAATAAACTTTGTTTCTCCTGTAACATTCAGCCCAACAGTTCACCTCAGATCAGACAGTCCCACTTTAGGCCAAACAGGTTATCATGTAAACATTCCTGTCTCCTCTATAAATCACCAAGCTCAAGATGAACGTTTACTGGGGCCAGAAGTGATTGGTAGCAATAACATGTTGTCAGAAATACACTAAGTTTAAAGTAGCCATGCATAAAAATGTATATTTTTATATTCATATGCATATACGTATACAGCTTGGTTTATAAACACATTCAGCCTAAATTACAAATAGTTTCAAGCTTGAGGTAAATTCAGCAGACGTCAGCAACCAAATCAGCTCATTAAATGCGCCCTTTACTTGACTGATTAACACAATTATTTATTGAAAATCGCGGATTACGCTAAGTGATCTAGACACACTGTCAGGGATACTGATGACGTCAGTCGAAGCTACCACTGTTAACAACAATTGTGGTTTTAGCCCGAGCATCGTCTTGTTGCAAATTGATAGATTTTGTTTGAGGTAGGATCGCAAAAAATATAAATTTTAATATAAGTGATAAGAACAAGCCAGCACAAACTTACATCTCAAATACCTTCCACTGTATTCTAGAAATGTGACAATTGTTGCTCCACTTCCTACCTTTCCCCCGGAAGTAATGCGATCCAAAGACGTTGGTGCCCCCTGTCGGTGTCCTAAATTAGCTCATAAAATTTAAGTCTTCATATTTTGCTATTTTTGTTTATTTTTGTTTCCTACACCATTGTAAATGTTTCCTGACTTTATATTGAACATAACAATACACATAAATAATTCCTATAAAGCTCTAAAAGTCGACTAAGGCTACAAAAGCGAGTCTGTTAAATGTGCAGCTGCAATTGGTTTCTTGCGTGACACAGAAAAGTCAACAGAGCAGGAAATTACCTGAAAATTCCATAAACAATTAAAGTCAACTACATTTTCAAAACTAAGATAGTATTTCTAGAATTGCATAAATATGTCTATTCATGAACATATTTTACACATTTTATTGTGTATTTACACATATAGTATAAGTGTCAATAAGTACATTGGTGAAGATTTCCAAATTTTTTTTTAGAAACAAATCAGTGAGCAGGAAAGATTACATTCACAATTTTATAGTAATGACACTATGGTGAACTTAGTCATTGTTTTGATTTTATATATGGGCTGCAAATCTTTTTATTTGTACATTAAACAAGAGTGAGAGAACATAGCTTTAAAAACACAGATTTAAGGTGTTTGTTATACAGTTTAATTGTTAATTAAGTGTAATTTCGTGGGGTTCAGTGACAGAACATTTCCATCAAGATGTCATGGTAAATTGAAATCATAATTAGATGCATTTACTTTTTTTTTGGTTTGTAAAGCAGAATTAATTAGCAAAATAAATGGATTCTGGTTGGTAAAACTAATGTTGTAGAGTAAATAGCACTTAATTCTCTCCAAAAAGGAAGTGCTAAAGAGGTAACAATGTACAGAAGTTGTTTACCTAATTTAGTAAAGCCACTATTTATGTTTTTAAATTTAAGGTGAGCTGTTAAGTAGCGTGGTATCAGTTACACATACAAAAAAGGAAACTCTAAATTTTGTACAACCTCATCCAGTCTCTCTTCACCACCAAACACTGACTGCAGCAGCAGTCACAGTCAATATTTACCTGCTTACTGAAAGCAAACAAAGTGACTTTGCCCTGGATTTACTACCTGGGAAACTATTGTTACATCGCAGTATATTTACAGCTCACCAGGAACAGCAGCCCTCTATGCTAGCACGGTAGAAAATGAGCAAAACTGAACACTTAAGAAATAAATAGGGATTCAGATCATTTCAAGATGAATTAAATACCCAACTCTGGTAAAGGTGTGAATTGTTACCAAAGACACTGAAATGTGTACAAGTTAATGATGCATTATGTCAATGAAAATGATTTGTATATCAAAGAAGAGTTGTCTTTTCAACAGTGGTCTATTTAACAAACATACACACAGACATAATATACCACGGTCAGATCCAGATAACCCTCTTCAGCAATAGGATTGTAAGTGGAGAGTTCTACAGAAGGTTCAGGTTGTGTTTAACCAGAAGGTAAAATCAAACACAGAAAACCAACATTGGGAAGAGGCGTGGACATGCAGGTGTCCACACTTACCAAGGTGTTTAATATTTAATATATCAAAATATATATTTGGCTCTTGGAGTCTGATTTACTGCAGTTTTACTGTGAATTTAACATTTTTTCCCACACTGCTGAGCATCAATACACTCAAAGGTTAGCAAAATAAACACTTTCAGCAGGCTTAATTTACACAAAAAACTGATAAAACAGTAAAAGTTTCTCTTGCTCAATGATGCTTTAATTATTTATTAATTAATTCAAATTAAATTCTTATCAAAAATTGCAGGAAAAGTTTAAAAGTCAAACTTCACCTCTGATTGTTTTAATTGGTTTTTGTGTGAACTACATGGCCCATGAGTAAATGAAGACAGTGACACAATATTATATTGGTGGCAGTAAGTTTAACCTCTTATCAGAAAATATGAAACCGAAGCATTTATAGTGATACATGTGATAAAAGTGATTTTTTTAATGCATGTTTTTTGTCTTCTGCTGTTTTAATGCCTCTGTCTCGTCATATGAAGGTTCACTCACTTTGCTTTAGCCCAGACAGAGGCAAAAAACAACAATAGCATTTTTCTAACAAAAGGACTCATGTGATTTGAATATATTGTCAAAAAATTTCAGACAGTGCCGTGTGGAAAATTAGTTTGACGTCTAGTTTTGGGAAAATTGATATTCCTGTTCGAGACGTGCAGAAGACACAAAGGAGACTCATGCTAATGTTAAAAATCTGGTGTAGAAAGTCGTACTTAACGCTGCCACTGTTGGTCAGGCTGTCTTAGGATCGATGTCACTGTCAGGACTAAACTGGGCTTCAAATCAACCCTTAGAATTCTAACATGCACATTTGCTCTTGTCTGAGTTCTCCAGATTGTCTGAGTCAATCGGTCCGTTCGTTCTCACTGTTCCGTCGGGGATCCAGGACTTGTCGACACATCGCTCCATTCTCTTCATGATGAGGTCTAGCAGGACGTCCACAGCCTGGTTCACGTTCTGCCCGTTTGCAGCACTTGTCTCAAAGTATGGAATTCTGCATGGAGACAAACAGCTGTCGGTCATTTCACTTCCTAATGCTGCTGCTCCATTTTCTCCTTTTGTCTTGTGATAAAAACACGTCACTGAAAACTCAAGGTCTTCTATGCTAGACTCACATAGAATTCACAGGTTACTGAGAGATCTGAGACCTATGCAGATCAAAAGCCTGCATATCCTATAGTTTTACTCATGGGTGAAGTTTCCTCCAATCTTTTGTTGTAAACAGTAGAAAAATGTGGCCTCAGGTGTCTTCACTGCTGCAGCAACAGTTTCTATGTTGATGCAAATGTTGGTTTTCCCTTCCTTGTCAAACAACTGTTCAGATGAATATTGAACATTAACCTTTAGTTAGAGTGCCAACTTCAACAGCTTAAAGACATTAAGTCATTTGCCCAAACATAACACAAGAACATGTTTTTTTTCTTTAACCTGTTTACACCTGTATTGTTTTTAATAACTGAAATATAGAAAAATACACAACACACAGTTTTATGTTTTTAGGACAGTGACACAAAGAGAGAAGGTGTGGTTAACACCAAGATTATGTCAATTAAATCAGTTTGCTGCTGGTTTTGATTTTTTTCTCCTAAACTCCTAAGAAGGGCAGTGACGTTATTTGAAACAATGTCTGTGTTTTTAGCAAAAGGTGTGTCTAATTGAGTCAGAGCAGGATACTTTACTCAAGTACAAATATTTACTTTTCAAGGAGGACCAGTTTAGGATGACATTCTACTGCACAGACTTTGACAAACAACGCAGCCACTGCCTTCTTGACAAATGTTTGAGGGAGAGGTTGATGTACAGATAGATGAAAACTCCGACGTACCCATATTTCTCTGCCAGCTCTCGAGCCTCTTCTTCTCTGACCGCTCGCTGATCTGTTAAATCACATTTGTTGCCGCAAAGAACGACATCTGGATTTTCACAGTATGCGTGAATCTGTAACTGACCTAAGAGAAACACATTGAACCGTTACACCAGGGGTCACCAACGTGGTGCCCGTGGGTCATGTTCTAAATATAAAATTAGTCAACAAGAGGGTCAAAAACGGTCAAAAACTGTCCTGTTACTGTGAATCACAGTAACTGTGAATCACTTTTGAATCAGTTTCACCTGCAGTGATATTCAAATGGGTTCAATGATGATGGTAAGAAGAGAGTGTCTTCTATTGTATGTCCCAGAACTGATTATTATTACATTATTTAAGAAGTCTATATCAAACAAGAAGCTCTCTGTATTACTAAGTACCCTTGAAGTAGCTCTCAGTTTCAAAAAGGTCGGTGACCCCTGTGTTACACACTGTATATTAAGTCTTGGGTCAATACTGCAGTAGTGTTTCACATCATTGGATAAGATGCTGCCAGATGTTTGTTATCAACAGGTTTCATATATATAAGGGAAACGCTGAACAATATGTGTATAAGAGTGTAGAAGGGAAATGTTATGGCCTTGTTTCCTCAGGCATCAGTACAGCACCAGAGAAGAAAGCAAAATGCCTGTAATTATCACTGACTCTTGGCATCTTTTACGTTACCTTAATATACGTTAATATAAAATTTGAGGACGTACTCATCCAGTTTCTGACATTGAGGAAACTTTGCTCATTTGTGAGGTCAAACAACAGGAGGAAACCCATTGCATCCCTGAAGAATGCAGTGGTCAAACTCCGAAACCTGAAACAAATTAAAAGGCAATTAAGATCTCATCGATGCTGCAATTATTTAAGGGAAAGACACATGGAAAATAACTGCCAAAAAAAGAACGTAATAATTTCCTAAGATAAGTCTGGAAGACTATTAAAGGACTATTAAAAGTCCCTCATGTACCTCTCCTGTCCTGCAGTGTCCCACAGCTGCATGTGGATCTTCTGTCCTCTCCCTGAAGAGCCCTCTGTACTTGATTTGTAGATCTGAGCACAAGAAAGACAAGTGACATCAAGACAAGTGTGTGTATGTTTGCTAGTGTAAAAAAACTCCCTTTACACTGTGTGTGTGTGTGTGTGTGTGTTTGTCACATCATTACTTTAGAGAGACTAGACATGTCGACACCCATCGAATGACATTAAAATTAATGAGTGAATGGTATTGAGCTATTGTTAGAAGAGGAGGGCAAACAAAGGCCTGGAACAACCTAGTGGCTCCAGTAGCTGATCCAGAATCAGTTAGAGTGGGTATTATTAATGGAGAGTCAATGATGAGATAGTGCCATATGTCTCCTATCCATATAATAACTTTTTTATATTGTTAAATTACACAATCGTGTAACCTTGAATAAAAAGCTGACAGATTTGAATCCATTTAAACACTGAAACTCTGCTGTCTCTTGCTGGACTGGATTACTGTAGAGTTTCATCATTCAACAGTTGAGGAAATACAAGGTGAAGAAAAAAACCCTGGAACTGGTGGCGTCACGGCTTGACTTGTTGTTTCAGAAGGAGGCTTCTCCTTTTCACTTGCCATCAACCATTACACTGTTTACTGCAACATTTATCAGTGGTCTGTTGTTCCACAGATGTTACTACTTGACACAGGAATGAGCCAAAGCCCTTAATCACGTAACCGTAGTTTATGTAGAAAACCCAGAAATAAGTGTCATACAAAAGCATAAAAGTTTTTCATTCTTTAATTTAACTCTTTCTACCTACCACTCTTTTTTCTCTGAAGTCTATCCCCACTGTTGTGATGAACTTGGAGTTAAACTTGCCATCTGTGTACTGGAAGAGGAAGCTTGTCTTTCCCACGCCTGAGTCACCAAGGGCTAGGAATTTGATGAGGTAATCATAGTCCCCATCAGACATAATGAGTCTTTATTTTCTGAAACACACAAACAAATTACTTTAATTATTATTATATTATGTTTAATTCAACCTCCACATGTTCACAAGTTGAAGGAGAACTTCAACACGTTGCATGGAATTTTTAGGGAGAAGATCCACAGTGTATCAAGGTGAACTCCAATTCTTCTGTCTTAGCAGTAATAGTAGCCACTCCAGTATGTTTGGATCATGTGCCACACAAACACTTTCAAAACTTCTTTGTGCTAAAGGCAGGTCCTATTTACCTTGGCTGTTTATCTAGGGCCATTAACTGGCTGTAAAAATAAATTTCAGTCCAAACAGATGCCTTACGTACAATGGATACGTTTCTACTTGTAATTCCTAGCATTGCTGACGAGGACTTTAGATGAAGTGAAGTTCCTAAAGAACACCGACAGGAGAAGAACTTAAGTAACACAACAAAAAGTAAATGAGTGAAAAAACACAGACACTGGTTTATTTATACATAATCACACAACCAAATGTGTCCTCTGCATTTAGCAGTGAGATTTTTATTCAAAGTTCATATTTGTAATAGTTGACCAGTCAAACTCAAAACAATCAACTGACAAGGTGCAGATCTGTCACATGACCAAAACCTTCTCAGACAAGTCTCAAATTCTTTCACTGCAAAAAAAAAACTGTTCATCTGCAGACGTAAGCTGCTTAGGGTCACGTGCATCACCATGAGCCATGATAAATAGCACAGTTGGATTGAATCCACTTTGAACATGTGTGCTGAGAGTCGTTTCCAGGTCATTTATCAGCTTTGTTAGGTACAGTTATGACGTTTCCCTCTAAGCCTACTTACAACTGTGTTTTACATGGATTCCTGGTTCTTACATTACCCAGGACAAAAATCTCAAGAAAAATCAAACAGAAATGTTAAAGTGATAAGTGACATCAGCAGTGTTTACTTTCATGCCTTCATCTCTCTTGGGGGCTTCTTTGTAAAAGTTTATTCATCGATATAATAATCAGAACCAACGTATAAGACCAAAACCTCGAACCCTTTCACATCACTAAAGTATAGATAATCGGACTAGTATTGTAACACAGACCAAAACTGACTCACAGACTGTGTGTTGACCATGTAGACCCTATCAGCCCCCCACTGCTGTCCTCTCCTCATTCACAAAATATAAAAACACAGTCATTACTTGGCCACGTGTCCACTAAAAATAGCCCCCTTCACTGCCAAACTGTCACTGTAGATTGTGGAATTGTTAAGCTGCTTTCTGTTGGTCTTTGAAAACCACATTCCTGACCACAACGTACAGGCCTTCAAACTGACATGTGAGCAAGAATGCTAGCTTAAAACTAGCAACTTCCTGCTACATTTCCCCCCTAATATTGTACTTTAAACATGTTTATATTAATTTGTCTAAAGGAGGTCCAACGTAATAGCAGTTAAACTTGTTTTATAGTTTAAAGAAATATTATGTTTTTATTATGGCTGCTAATCCTTAAGTGAAGAAATTGCTACTGTATTTCTATAAATGTTGCTAGTTTTGCACCATGTTGTTGCTAGCTGGTAGTACTGTGAACAAAGAATTCCATTTCTTGTCATTTCAAATATAATATATAATTAATATATTTTGATGTGAACTACAACAATTATCAATGATATGAAAGCTGCAAAAGACCTACTATGAATGTATGGTGTTGGACTTTAACGTTTTCTGAATATATATTATATTTTATACACTAAAAATAATAACAGCACTTAAAGAACATTTTCGTAAATGTGCCACTAATCATAACTAATCACAACTACCAAATATAGCATCAAAATGTATTTTAACATACTGTGGACATTTTAAAAAAATGTCATGAAAATCTAAGTGCCTACATCAGTGAAAAAACAGGTCAAGGACATGACAAAGCAAACCAAAACCACACTGAGGAAGACGGAGTATTTATTGGCACATTTCGACAACCTATCATTAAACTGATCTGAGGAGCTTCTACTGAGACTGACACGGAAACACGAAAGGGTGGTAAACACTAATAAAACTGGAATAAAAATAAAAGGCGAGGTATTACTGAATATTTCATCGGAGTTTAGCTAAAATAATATTGCACCTCTAACTCCACTTCTGTTACGTGGGACTTCTGTGAGAATCAATAAAGCTCTGATAAAGAAAAATGACCATGACTAAGAAAAGGGAACACCTCTCAGAAAGAAGAAGTCTACAGACTTACACAAAAATGTGTAAATCTACACACTCTGTGCTTCCTGTAGTGACTTCACAGTATTTCCTTCTTTCTAACATGAAATACTAATTTAATTTCCAGGAGGTAGCAAGAGGCCACAAATCTCCCGTATCCTCTGTGCATTTAAACCTAAAGCTCCTCAGTGACCGACAGCCTGTGGTTCTGTGTTTTGTCAATTGCCACTTTAATAAATAACTTCCTTAAAAGCCTGGAAAATTGTAAAGGTTAATCTAATTCTGGGCTCAAACTAAGTGCTTAGTGTAATGTTTCTTTCAGACTTTTAAGAATCAACGAAACTCTGTCCATCTGCCCCGTCCCTCTGCAGGAGAAGGCTGTACAACACAATTGTCCTTTATGTGCAACACTACAAAGGTAGCAAGAATTACTAGTGTATTTACCATCTAAAATAAAGGGTAAGGCCTTGATTTGTTGTATTTAATTATTTCAGATTTAGCAGCACCCTCGTGAGGGTACATGATGTAACTAAGCATCTAGAATTAAATATAGATCTTAGAGGCATATAAATCTTAGAGGCATCAAATAATGAAATGATTAGACATTGATGAGCACGAGTTACTGCTGCAGTTTCCTCTAATAAAACATGCTGATCCAACATGGCTGCCTCTATAAAGATGACATAGCTCTAATTACAGGAAAGATGCAATGAAAATATTGATTCACATCTACAGGTTAGCTCATAGGCAATACTCACCTGTAAGTATATCACTAGCTTAATAATTTTATTTCATATCCCGCAATTTACATTGAATATACAACATGGTCACTTCTTAAAAACTGATTTAAGGCATAGAGTGAAATGTACAAAACTGTGGGAAAATCCACCTTTTAATTGTCAAAGTGTTGCAAATAAACAACAACCTTAAAACAAAAAACAACTGAACATAATCACATTTAGGATACTGACTCATACACCAAAACGAGCCCCAACAATTTGCAAATCTATTGATTGGTTAATCAATAATTAATGAACAAAACTAAAAAAATAAAGTTACACAGGACATTAGAAAGCTTTTAAGGTGGTAGCCAAATTTAGAACCCAATTTTCTTTAAAATAACTGGAAACCTTTAGTGAACACACAGTGATTGGCATCTGCCCTGTGAAGAAGAGGCCATGTTGAAGACAACTTGCTTGGACATCACTGTCACTTAGTGAAAAGGCTTCTGTTGGATCGTCAACTGGTGCATTATGGTCTGTTTTCCTTTAAATGGGATTATAATTGGCAAACATGATATCAATGTGTAAAAGTCCCTCAGTTAAATTCAAACTGTCCAACTGTTATTAGCGGATATATATTAAGTATTAACAAATATATATACATACATTTTGAAGTGAATTCATGTTCCTACAGACTTAAATGTGTATGGTTGACAAATTAGAACCACTAAAATGAATCAATCAATGACTCTACTGTGCTGTGTTGCTCACAGACTGACACACAGAAACGTGTGGCCACAAACGTAAACACACGGGTTCATACTGCACAAGTGTTGGCATGTCCCTGTGCAGTGGGAGTGGTGGACCTGGGGGACGTGAGTGCCAGGCTTAACTAGCATCGGAGCAAACACAAGCAACTTAACTCATTTATCCGGGAGAAGTTAGGACCCACCCCGGGCACATGTCCAAAACAAAGGCTGGCAGTTCCTTTGGAAAGTCCAGGCACAAAAACCTCCACCTTCTCCTCCACTATAATAATGGAGATGGTGAAGTAAAACGGAGAAACCTCTTAAAACCTCCCCAATGTCACAATTTAAGCGTGTCCTCATTAAAATACCGTAGGAGGATTTATCTGCTGTCAGAGGAGTGTACATCACCCACGATGAGCGACAAACAGAGTCAAAGATCAGACCTCAACTCCATTTAGTGAAACAACAGAAATGAGAGTGACCCTCAGCTGGTCCTCATGTGGTTGTCACTGCTGGTCAGGTGACCGGGAGCTAGAAACAATGACATTTTTCATTTCATTTCATTTATCGTTAAGATTAAACACTGCTGCGAACTAACAGGATTTTGCTCATAACACCAACTCAGGAGGAGGGTGGAAAGAGCTGAGGGTGATAAGAACGGCAGCAGGTGGTGGGGCAGAAAAGTTTCCTACAACTTTTCGATGAAGTCAAAGCTGATCTGTGTGACGTTCAAAGATGATCAGAACTGAGTAAAGTTTTCAGAGCAAGGCTAAAAATCTCTCAGATGCTTCAAACACAAGCTGCCGCTGCTGCGTATGCTCCTTCAGACGCTTTAAAACATTTCCTGAAAATAGTTCGTACTCACCGGCCCCGAGGCGTCGCAGCTGCCGTCGAGACAGTACACACACGAATACAGCGAGGCACACTTGTTTTTTTACACACAAAAAGTGACACACTGATGGAGACTCTGTTACAGACGTCGTCACTGCGCCATGGGCCAGGCTGTAAGCAGCCTCATGAAGATGGAAGAGCCCGTGTTTGAGAAACAGCTCCTCCCCATGGAGGAGTGATTACTGACCGAGGAGGAAACCGGCCTTACACAACCCTACCCTACAAAAACACTATTACACTACGACTAAACTACACTAAACCTTACCAAACTCTCCTCCAAGCTCCTCCCTATTTGCCCAAAGAGTGAATATCCCCATTAACACCACATCTCCTGATTTACTTTGCAGTACTGTTTCATGATTGGAATCCTACCTACAGTGTACAGTACATGTCGAACTACATCGACACGTTATAAGTCACAGCTATTTAATTGCCATTTTATTTCTACTGCTTTTCTTCGTGAGCTTTGTACCTAAGTGTTTCTATGTACTTTAGGTTTCCTGTGAAAACAGGTGGTCAACAAAGACAATTATATTTTTATACATTTTTATTAGGTAATGTTTTATAATTCAGTACACCCATGAAGAACACAAGATCCCACCAATGATGGTCCTTCTGTACAGAGTTTGAACATTCTTCCCCAACATGTATAGGTTTTCTCTACAGCACCACTGTCCAGAAACATGCAGGAGATGAGATGAGTTTGTGAATTGACTTTGGGTGTGAATGAGAATAGATGGTTTGTCCATATTTGTGGTACTGTCCACTGTCTATTTTGGCCGATGACTGCTGAAAGCTCCCTGTGGCTCAACCATCTTTCATCTCTGACAGTCCAGTATTGCCTCATACACAGGAGTTCTCATGGTTCCTGTGAGAAATTGAATATTTTCTATTTTATTCATTCTCTTTCTTGGGTACATTCTGCATCTGTGGTTTTGAAGTATCTTGCAATGGTTCAAAATAAGGTTTGTAGATATAGATACCCCCCACAACTCCAAGGAGTGTGGCAAATGCGATCTGTGTGAAAGGTATTCTTCTTCGAAGCATGTTGTGTTTTTATCTGCAATCCCAGAAGGTTCAGAATTCCCTAAAACAGAACAATAAATAACAGAACAATCTTAGTTTTTATAAAATTGCAGTCAAATGCTGTGATAACAATGCACTGCGTAGCACTCTGCAACGTCTGATTCCTATATTACATGCTGTAGTTAAATATACCTCAACTGAGCATTTACTGTATGTCGAAGCATCTACAGGGGCATGTCGTTGCCTTTATCATTAGACCGCTAACGGTATTTAGTTTTCTGGTGAATGTACATTCAATAACTACTACGTTGAAGATTAAAAAAAAGAAATTAGGGTGGGGCGTTTGAGTAAAAATTATAAACTTTTTAAACAGCATGCTGTATTATTGTTTGTTGTCACAATTAATATTTAACACCCCCAAAACCTTTCGAGGACGAATCTTAATTAGTATTACTTTGATAAGGCTGAACCGGACATGGAGAACGGCGGTTTCTATTTTACTGTAAAATCTTGGATATGGACTATAGAAAGCGTTACAAGCGATTCACTATAACTCAATCAACTCACCAACTATACGGGTTAATGGAAGCCCAAGTGTACGCAGTCATTAAATTGACGAAAGGGTTAGTACACACCGAAACGACCTCAACTGGACAAAGTACCGTGGAAGGCGGCTACTCTTCTTCAACTGTATTTGTAACACAACACAAACAACTAGATCGCCACCCACTGGAGTAAGTAGCAGCATGCACCTTGTCACTGAAATTGAAGTGGGCTAGTTTAACATTAAACTTTATCCAGTGTTTATTACACTGCCTACTAATTGCAACTGCTGCATGAATATATGTTTCTACTTATTAATAACTTATCACTAGGCTTTGTTGTAGTAGAAGTATTAATAGTCGTATTAAAAGTAGTACTAGGTAGAATATTAGTTGGGGTATTGGAAGTAGTGTTAGCAGTATAAACATGAGAGGTCTAAATATACAGTCAGCGATGGAAGAGTGAGAGAAACTGTTATTGAGGATTTACACTTGCCTCCATAAGTTGGGCTTTTATTCTGAAGGCATACAAGGTTAGTTCCTCAGATGTTGTGACGCTAAAACGCGGAAGAGCAACAGAGACCTAACTCCTGTTTACGGATTCCTTCTAAAGTTCTCGAGTTGTTTGCCGTTTCAGAATAAATCAGTTCGCCAAAGAGACATAAAGCCTGCGTGGTCGATCATCCACGGTCATGTGCGTTTCACGTTGATGGCGTCCAGATTTGCAAATGCACGTTTCTAGTTGTTATCAACTGTTAACAGGGTTTTTATACTCAGCGTCAGACAAAATGCCCTGATGGAGAACATCCGACCCCGGCTGAAGTTTGGAAATAAAATAGATAATGTGAAACTTAGGAAAAGAAAATCCCACCTGTATTCGAAGAAAGACGAATGTCCTCTCAACAACGGTGAGACATGTATTGTGAAACGTCAATTAAAGCAAGTGCATTTAATAGGTCGTACCGTGCTCGACTTTTACTTTGAAACTATTTCCTCTCATTTTTCTTTATCGTTGTATTTTTATTTTTATTATTTTTAAGACTAGGATGTTGGAGATTGAGTTGGCAGGGAAGAAGAGAAGAGGAAGGAGATTTGTGGATGTTGTTTAACTTTTAGCTTTTAGGATATTCTTGCTGTATAATAATTGTCAGTGGTCCATTATCCCTTATTCTAGTCTAGGTCTCTTCGTCCTGAAGTACAAGACTATTTTAGTACTGTTACCTCAGTGAGTAAGTAAAGTACAAAGTAATTGTGAATCAGAGATCAAACTAGCAGCTTGTGTCCTCTACTGTGATGGTGGCTTTAAATCAGATAAGTATAATTCATTAAAATGTCATTTCTTGATCCTCACAGGCCTCAGAGTCAGACTTTTTGTATTTTGTCTGGTGCTCAGACTGATCAACTGCCTCCTTGTTCAGACCAGCTTTGTCCCTGATGAGTACTGGCAGTCACTGGAAGTTTCTCATCACATGGTCTTCAAATATCCTTTAACCACAAAGGCTTCATTACCTGTACTTTAATTAGTGTTTGTGTTCCTAAGACCTTAACAGTGGCACTTATGGTTATCTGACATGGGAATGGAAGGAGGGAATCAGAGGCTTTTCTTATCCACTCTTATTTGCTGTTTTGTACAAGATTTTGTACCTCCTAAACTATGACTCAGTCTTGCTCCTGGTAGGTTTATGTATCAGTGTCCACACAATGGTTTTTGTTCTCTGAACTCAGACTGAATTAATCTTTCTTTGCCGTTTCTTTAGAAATGGATTCCAAGAATCTTTCAAGCACTCCTGGCTGCGTTTGCTGATGTGAAGTTTTTCTTCCTTGTCCGATCATTCGAGAGTCAAGATGTCGCAAAATGGACGGTGAGGATTTGACCTTTATGCTGTGTTTTTATCTGTGCACTACACCTGTCGGGTGTTAGGGACGTGTTGTACTGTATTTTGAAGCTGTACATTTTTCAACACTGTCTCAGTATTTGACCAGCCTGGTGAGTGTATCTTCTTTGTTTGACCTGCAGTTCTTCTGCCATCTGTGTTCATGGTTTACGTGGTTCTGCTGCACTAGGACTCTAACCAACACCATGGAAACAACCATCACCTCTCTGGCTCTTTGTTATTTTCCACTGGCCGGATCCAAAACTCACAGCAGGTTTAAATTCTCTTGAGCTCTTTAATTGTATTTTTTTCTATTTTCTTAATAGAAACACCTTACAGATGTTTTTTTTAATCAGCAAAAAATATTTAGCTCTGGTCGCCATGGCAGTCATTTTTCGTCCAACTGCGCTGATCGTCTGGTTTCCTCTGCTCATGTACCATTTCTGGAAGGAGGACAACAAACAGAGACTCATCACTCATAGTTACATTCCATTAGGGTGTGTACATTACCAACCTGATCCTCTAACGACTGTTTTTTTTTTTTATTATCACTCTTCTGATCATTTTCTTTCCCGTCTACAGGGTGTCAGCTGTTATGATTTCAACCACTATTGACTGTATTTTTTATGGAAAGGTAAATCATTTCCAACACATTTATATGCTTCTGTTGATGAGAAAATTCTATACTTCCCTGTTGCTGTCTCTGGTTAAAGTGGACCATGGTGCAGTTCAACTTCTTAAAGTTCAACATTTTCCATGGAGTGGCAGATTTCTACGGCTCCCACCCCTGGCACTGGTACTTCACACAGGGGTTTGCAGTGGTGATGGGTCCTCATCTTCCTTTCTTTCTACATGGAAGCGTCCTCGCCATCAAAAAACACAAGATCCTGTTGGCAACTGTTGTCTGGACCGTTGTGGTCTACAGGTAGTTCAGGTTTTTTTTCATTTATAGAGACAAACTCAACATAGAATACATGTAGGTTTATAACAGGAGAGTGTACGTGTATTTCCTTGAACATTCAGCTAATGAAATAAAAAGGATACTAGTTTCTGCAAAGGCATTAATACCTCATCTGACTTGTTATAGAAAATACACAGTAAAAGTTTAAAACAGGAGTAAGTTTTGTGCTCATTTTTTACTTTCCCCAATTTGTCTTTGGTTTCAGTTTTCTTCCTCACAAAGAGTTCAGGTTCATTTATCCTGTGCTGCCTTTCTGTATGGTCTTCTGTGGTAAGCCTAAACTTTCACATCTAAACTGTGGACCTGGAGGAACATCCACATTGATGTTTAATCAGTTTCTTCATTCATCACAGGAGCATCACTGGCAAATCTGAAAGCGTGGCGTCGACCTGCAGCTCTGTTCTTGATAGTGACCAACCTAGGTCTGGCTCTGTACACTGGCCTGGTCCATCAACGAGGTTCTTTGGATGTCATGGACCACCTGCAGATTCTTTGTGACAGGAGCAGCATCCTCACACCTACACAGGCTGATGTCCTCTTCCTCATGCCCTGTCACTCTACGCCTTATTACAGGTAACGCCATTCAGAATTGACTGTCAGTGACTCTACAGTAACTATAAATAACTACAATAACCATTGGTCACAGAATTGTGATGAGGACTTTGATGTACCTGTCCTAACCAGTTGACTGCTGAGATTGGCTTCAGCTCCCTGAAAGGAATTAAGCAGGACAAAATGAATGGATTTCCTTTAGCATTCTGAAATGGAACTATTACCTGAACCTGAGCTGACAAATTACATATCAGGTGTTTACGTAGTTCTGTGATTATACTTTAATTTCTTTGAGTCAAAGGTTGGCAACAGCTGCGGATATTTATCTAACCTTCCACTTGTAGCCACATCCACTGCCCCATAAAGATGAAGTTCCTCGAGTGTCCTCCAGATCTTGGACAAGAAGGCTACGTGGATGAAGCGAAGACGTTCTTCACCGAGCCTCTTCACTGGCTCACCGTCACATTTTCAAACCAATCTTCTCTGCCCACCCATCTGATTCTCTTTGATGTTTTGGAAGAGGTATGATATTCATATAATTGTATTTTACATGTGGTTTTATGTGTAAATGTTTAACTATTAACCTGCTCTGATCGACATGTTTTGTTGTTGCAGAAAATCTCAACATTTATAACAGTGAACAACTTTGTGAGGACCAGAGAAATATTTCATACTCACTTTCCTGAGGGGCAGATTGGAGAAAGCATCTTTATTTATGAAAGGCACTAACCAAACACTCCTTCTAAATCACACTGTTTGACATTTTCTGGATAATAAATATTTTTAAGATTTCAAATGATCAACTTTCAGATGTGTCAAATATGTGTGTGTTGTCTCCATTTTAGTGTTTTATCCCAGCATTTGCTTTTATGTAAAATGATGAAGATTTGTAAATAAGCTTACAGTGGAATGTTAAAAGCTCAATTTTTAAACATGTCATGTCAGCTGTCATAGCAGCAAGTTTCCAACTTTTTCATGGAAAACATCCTATTTGTGAAATTTCTTTTTTTAACACAAAATATTAGGCTCAAAGCTGAACGAATTCTGCTGAATAATTAAAAAAATGTAAATGAATCAGTATTATTTTAGCAAATGGGAATTTAACAGGTGAACATTTTTAAAATGTCAAATGATCCTATGTTACAAATGTTCAGACTACACATGGTGTCACATTGTCTCGAAGCCATGACTACGTATCTAACACAAAACCACTCGAGGATGTTCAGTAGCATTACAAAAAAATTAAAATGTGCAAACAAACAAAAAAGCATCTAAAATTCTAAATATAACCCAAAATGGAATTTGCAGCCATGATAACCAAGCAGCAGGGAGGTGCACTGTACAATCAGTATTTAGGATCAAAGGGCATTGGGCCAAGTTCTATTTTGACGTCAGCCATGTGTGTGTCTGAGTTTTTCCCTGATCGTCTCTTGCGTTCACACCAAGACCAAGGTTTGGCTTTCTGCTGCTTCCTCTGGTGATGCTTCGACCGAAGCTCCTCCTTTAAGTTGGTGACGGGTTTATCGAATGGCCCTCTGTGGTTCAAGCACAAACAGGATGGGCTCATTAGTTTTTAACTACTGACATTATCCTTAATCATTAAAATCAACATGCCACAGCTGCGTCTCGGCTGAAAGTCAATTCAGAAATCCTCCAATCATAAGCCTGATTCTTTAACTTTCCCTAATTTAGGAAAACTAGTAATGAGTTTGTCAGTAGACAAACAGGAGACCTACCTCGGGATTGGGTTTTTTGTGTAAGCATCTCCAAAGAAATGCCTGTAGACGTAGTCGTCCAGATCTCCAAACCTATCATGGAGACCGTGGTGCTGCAGGGCCATGTCTGCCAGATAGTCCTCCACACGGCAGACAAAGTCTGTGAACAGCATCTGGTCGTGGATGAATATCCCGTTGTGAAAAAAGCCATTGACGAACACCTCCAACTCTTTCCACTTGTGAAAGTGGTCAACTTCCTGCTGCACGTAGCTCTGCAGCAGCTGGTGAAATTCATCGGCTCTGACTGGCTCCGTGGCTACGTTAAAGAAACTCATGGACTCTTGGTAGGCGCAATCAAAAACACTGTCACATCCTTTCAAATCCAGACGCAGTCTCCACTGATCCTGCTGGACTTTGGGACCTGGTTTCCGAGTGTTGTAGTTGCTCCGGGAGGAGGAGTCCTCCTCTTTTTGTGTGTGCTTGTGGAAAGGTTTGTGGTGTCTGTGCTGCCATGGCTCTTTTAGGGTCTTCTGATCCCTTTTTTTATTCGAAAATCCTCTGACCTTCTTGAACAGAGTTGAAGCAGAATCTTTAAAATGTCGAAATGTTGATTTAACAGAATCAGAAAACTTCCTCAAGTTCTCCTTCACGGCCTCCTTTGCTTTCTTAATCTGCTCCTTGTGGTGGTGAACAAACTCCTTGGAGGAGTTTTTAACAGCATCAAACGTGTCCTTCACCTTCCCTGCCATGCCCTCTCTGGGTTTCTTCACTTTTGACTCTGTGTCTCCTTTGGCTCGTGTTTCTTTAGTCTCCACGTAAAGTCGCTCCCACAGATCAGAGCGCTGCTGTTCAAAGCTCAGCTTCTGCTCCATCTCTAACAGACGTTGATCGAGCTCACTCCTCAACTGACCTGTGACCTCTCTCTCTTTCTTTAAGTTCATCTTCAGTGCCTGTGTTTCAGCTGCTAATTCCTCCTTCTGGGCGTAGAGGTTTCTGATCACCTGCTGTTCCTCTTCCAGCTGCTCTTTCATCCTGGTGTTTTCTGAGAGCACTGAGTCGACTCCAGCTCCTTGCGCCTCCAGATCTCTGATCTTGTTGCGCAGGTTTCTCAGCTCTTTCTGTAGAGTTGACAAGGACTTCTTTTCACCCTCGAGTGTGAGTTTGAGCTCCTTGTTCTCGACACTTAGCCTCTGACGCTCCACCAACATGTAAGTCATCTCCTCATCTCTGTGTTTCAAGTCCTTTTTCTAGGCATTCACAAGACAAAAACAAACAGGAGAAGCTTTCCTTTAGTTAATCTACAACTTAATATTTGTTTTCTTTTTCTAAGGCCATGGACCTTCGAGGTACCTGAACACGTGGCTGTCTGACCTCATGCATCTTCTTAGGTAATTTTGGAAGTTGGGCCAAAACTTCATGATCTCTGCCTTCATGATCCAAGGCCTGCTGAGCCCAACCAAGACAGTAGTTACAGATGGATTCAAGTGAAATTTTAGCAGTTAGTTAATGCACAACATGTCTTTAATATCAATACAAAAACAAATTGGTCAAACCACAGTTGAATTATCATTTTCATTGAAGACACTTAACTATAATGGGGACTTAATCTATGTTTACGGTGCTGTGCAAATGAACCACTTTTTACGGGACATTACTATGCATGCAATAATGTCCGACTTGCCTGGTTAAAAAATAATGCACCAAAATGTACAACAGTTTTGTTGTATGGCCTTTGACCTGTACTTTTACTGACCTGCACTGTGAAAGGTTCTTCATGAAACAGATCAAAAACACCTCCACAGACAAATTTGGGTCGTTCTGGAACCTCATATGTGCCTGTGAGATTTGCAAAGGTTATTTGAACAAAACGGCTGTATTAGTATTTGACTGAAAAGTATAAAATTGTACTTCTACATGTAATGAGGCTGCAGTAAACAGCACACATTTGTACTTGTTAAGGTGTAACTGTGTTTATGTTGAAGCCTGGATTAATAAACTCACTGGCAGCCATAAGTACAAACTACAAAAGTTCACATTATGTTTGTTTCACTAGAACAACACAGACTACTTCATAATCAATTTCTTTTCTAATTCTATAATAAACTTCTTACCAAAGATGTGACCGACACCCATACAGACAGCAGTGACCAGCAGGAGCATGACGCAGGTGATGACAATGCTTTTGCAGCCTTGCGTTCTGAAATTCCGAGAGGCGTCGACTTTGTCTTCTTCCTTCTTCTCCTCCTCTTTCACCTTCTTACGCTCCAACTCATCCTTAGGACCAGGCTCTTGTTCCTCCTCTTCCTCCATTCCTGTCGTATTCTTCCTCACCCGTCGTCTTCGTGGCACAGAGCTAGGGCTTCTTCTTGCCTCATCCTCACTGCTGCTGCTGCTGCTGCTGCTGTTTACTACTGCAGCCTGCTGCACTGGTAGACCTGAGGACAAACACACACAGTCACAATGGTTTAAAATGCCATGTATTTAACAACTACTTGAACAACTACCAGGCACCAATGATGTTATTCATGCACAAACGAACTACAGAATAAACAATTAGTGATCAGGCAATTTCTGACATTTATTTTTCTCATTCGATTAGTTGAGAACTGTATACTTTTTGCCAGGCCTTTTAATTTAATGTTGTTGCTGAGAAGAAGATCTCTCGCAGCAGGAACTAATATTCTTTTGTAGCGTGCTTGAGACATCTCTGCTTCTCATGTTTTACCCTGGCATAGTCCAGTAGTCTTTAACCAGAAGTTACAAAACCTCCTACTGTTTTGTTAGGTTTGTTGAGTCTAATTCTTTACATCAGATTTTACATGTGTTTCCAAAGACTATATATATATATAGAATATAATCTTGAATTTACTCAAGATTATACTTCACAACAATGACTCATAACCCACTGAAAACACAAAAATGTTCACAGTCTGAAAAGGAAATATTAGCAAGACAAAGTTAAGAAACCTTGGAACTCACTATTTGGCCCCAAATCGATATTATCGTCAAAGCAAAAGTCCTATTTTTGTTTGTTTGTAATCACTACAGGTATGCTATGGTCCACAGGGAAAATATCTAGTTTTGCTCAGGAGTTGTAGTTTGACTCAAATAATGTCTATTATGACTTCATTGATTTGCAATACACACATGCACACTCTCAAAGAAGCCTGAACTGTGACAAAACTAAAGGTTTATTTTTGGACATGCTATTGACATACTAATGCTAACGTTAGCACTCATGCATGATTCAGCATCAGGATTACATTTTTGTCAGCTGGGCAACAACAGTTCCCAAGTTTAGTATCAAAGTCACTCCAGTTTCAAAACACCTGAAAAAGAGCGCTCTCCAGTGATCTGGCCCATCAAATGATAGCCAAAGTTCACCAGACTCTGTGGAAGTGTCCAGTTTCTCATCATCAACCCTGCTTTAACCATGTAAGAACAGACAGAAGAAGAAATACTCTGTGTTGGTGCCTTTCCAAGTAAAACAAAAGAAGTGTGTCAAGTGTTTTTACCAGTTTCTGAAGCTATGAAAGAGTAATGGCTGCTGCTGGATGTCCCCATGTACAAGTCTTCACTGCCAGTTGCTGCATCCTCAACATCTGCATGCTCGTCCTCCCTCATGTCTGCCAGAGTCACGATGTCAGAGTGATCACTGAAGGACAACAGAGACCCTTGCTCTTTCTCTGCAACATTTTCTCTGTCCTATTAAAGACACAAATGTGCATAAAAAAATAAGTGAATTTACACATTAAACATTATCAACCGAAAACAAAATTTTCATTAACTCTTCACAAAGTTTGCGTAACTTTAACCACAGACATTTTTCTGGTCTTCTCACCTCAGAGGCGCACAGTGTCTCGGCTATAGTTTGTTGTTCGAGTGTATCTTCCAGTGAATCGGCAGCTGGTTCTTCAGTACACACAACTACAATCAAACCAAATACACAGGGATCATGACCATTGTGGTATAACTGCAATAATCCCACCCAGACAAAAAAAAAACTACTACTCATTAATCAGTTACATTAATTGAGATCAAACAAGAATACCTAATGCAAAAGCTTCAGGTGTGTCCGGCTGCTTCACCTCCTCCACTGGAGGGCGCTCCAACTGCTCAGTTTTATTTTCCACCACTGTCTCTGATCCAAGGGTCTCAATATCTGAGCCCTGGAAACACAGTAAACAAATATAACAAGCAACAAGTGCATGTTCCTCTTTTCGGTTAAATGTCATATAATTCATTATATATAGATTTGTGGTGCAAATAGCTTCAACCCCTCAAAAACTCTACTACTCACTACTACTACCTACACTAAAAACATTTTAACAGCAAATATTGGTCAGAATCCATCAGATTCAAAACAAATGCTTAGTCTGAACAGCTACATCCATACATAATTATGTTTATTTTATCCTCCCTTTGTTGAAAATAATAAATAAAAGGTTGATACCTCATTTGTAATGATGGTCCATCCAGAGGATGACTCCGTATCACTTGATGAGTCTGACATTTCTGTGTGAGAGGTCAGGGACCTCAGGAATAACACTGGTGTTCGTCAACACACTAAAACAACAAATGAAATAGGTCAGACATTAGGTCATGAGGATTTAACAGATTAAAAATATAAATAAATGTGTGTCCCTCTGCTGCTGCTGTTTTGACTGACATAACCCTGGTTAACAACAGCTTCCAAAAGATGAAAGATCTGAATGATGAAACCTTAAATTTGTTTCTAGTGTCATTTTCAGAGCACAAATGGTGAGCTAGTATGAGGCCAAAAGACAATTAAAATGTATTACAAAAACATAATCTGTGGAACAACAGCAATGTTTTCTCACATTGTGGTCTCTTTTTACCAGCTTGTAAAAAACCAAAACAGGTTTACAGTCAAGATGGCTGCTTATCATGTCAACTCTTTGAGGTTTGTGGGCACTTGTTCTCCGAAGAAGCTTGTGCAAAAACAACTTCCTGTAGGATTTAAATCTTGTTTTCTTTTTAAAATAACAACCCTGACACGTCAAAGTCTCCTTTCAACAGACACAACATCCTTTTCTGCAAACTGTGCCAAAAACAGAAGGTAGTAGGTAGCAGAATTGTCAAACGTACTTGAACAAAATCCTTTCTTAATGACTTCACAAGTCCCAAAATGACAAAATGTACTTAATTCATTATTTGTTTGGTAGTGGAAACACACACTTCACACACAGACTCTTGGAGTTGAAAGCCTTTGATGTGAAGAACACAATGACTTGCATCATAATTATTATTATGTATATTATTATGTAAAAAATCTATTAATGTGTTCATAGCCAACTATGTTAAATAGAGGAATTATTTCTGTTGGTACTAATGGTAATTTAAGAGACCAGTATAAAAATCTAATCTAAAATGCCTTGACTGCTGGATGTTAGTGTAGAAAGTTAGTAAACAGCACTTACAGCAGAAAACAAAAGGGCAAGAATGGTATTAGGCTTTCACTTTATATGTGAAAGCCATTTTTGGACAACAAAAGTACAGCTATTTTGTATCTACAACTGTATGAAATGTGTGACTAAACGGAAATAGATGTAATAGCTGTAGCAACCTTACCACTATTCTACTCTGGACATCTTCACACATCCACAGGCTATTGGTTTACTGTCCTTACACTTTTCCACAAGCTCCATATACTTCGCGAGAACAAGCCCGAAAAAAAGCCCTTCTAAAAGTACTATATAGTGTGTTAATGGAACGGGCACTGGTATGCTAAAAACACACAACCGTGTGACAGCGCCATCTAGCGATTGGAGACCAGAGTAACGCCCTGGAAAAGATGCGGCCTGGTTGAACAGCGACATTTGATGTGACAACAGAAACATAATTGTCTGCTACCTGTTACTAACACAAACGCCGAGTGTAACCATCAAATAATGGTTTCTCGGCTATTGTTTCGGTCTTTGCTTCACTTATAAGACGGTTTTAATCGGAACGTCACCTCTCAAAGCATTGAGAAGAAAATTGGACAACGTTCGTTATCTCTAGTTTTTGAAATACGAATTTAAGAAAAAAGAAAATCTCTTCCACTCACCGGTAAATTGTGTCCGCAGACGAAGCAGTTGTTTGCAACCAGCTTCAGAGTTGTTGCAGTTGTCCTACGATTAGCCACAAACAGACCAGTGTCGTTGGGGAATGTAGTTCCACTCCAGCTAAGAGGCGTGCCTTTACCTGTCGTTTTCCACTACATTCCCCGTGAAGCAACGGGGTGGACAAACTTGCTCAGCCGGGGCGGGGCAACTCGAGCGGCAGCAACTCCTCCTGTTGCGAAAATATATAAACATGAAAGCGTGACAGCGCAAAAATAAAGGACAAGGGTGGTGAAATGTATCTGGTCGTTTTGTTTGTTTCACGTTTTAATATAAACATACCGCTTTATAAATTGACATTCAAGATAACTCCCCCGTCACAGTGTGGGGCAGTTTAAGTTCCCGTCAGGAAACACGTGGTGCTTGTTGTTTTGATCCAGACGAGCAACCGTCTCTTCACACAAAGGAAGTACTAAGCTGCAATGCTGCTCAACAGGCACAGTCACAGTTGTTACACAAATGTGTTGTGATCTCCAACTGTTATGTCTACAACTTCAGAACACGTCACTCACCATCTAATACATCGGTGTCATGTACTTTATGTGTGACTTATGATGCACTCGAAGGTGTGAATTACACAAGTCAGCTGATCTTCTAGAATCGTCCAACACAACATTGCAGGGGTTTAAATTGATCCAATATCTAGTGAGTGAGTTCTGTTGCATAAACCTTTTGACGATGGCAAACGTCATGGGAGAATGGCCAAACTCCAGCTTCTCAGCTCCCACCTTACCCAACCTTCGTTGGTGTTGACTTTTCTAATAACAACTTAAGACACTACTATTAAGAGTTATATACCTCGTAGTCAAAACTTGTAAAATTATTTTATTCGTCCTTTATTTGATTCTATTGTGTGTATAGTATTTGTCATCGATAGGCCATTAAAATATAATCAGATTATCATATTGTTTATAATAATGACAACAGCAATAATATTAATTATTAATCAACACACTTGTTAACCTTTGAGGCAGTCGCTCTTTATCATTTTTTCTACTAAAATCATTGCAAATGTGAAGTAGTCGGAATATTGCTTAGTTTTGAAGAAAACGTAGAAGCCGCTGTTTGAGGATTTAAAACACAACCATTCCACTGCACTAAAACATTCTAACATTAAAGACAATAAAGACACTCGAATGAGCTTTTTTTGTATTGTTTTTATTATTGTGGTGAGTTTTCATGATTATCCACTGTCTAAAATTTTCTAACTAAACATTTTTGGCATAACCAACTTGCAAGTGAATTTACTGACATAGACAAACACTGGAAATATAACATGAAAGGAGGAAAAAAAACAATATAACAATTACAAAAAGGTACATTCAATTTTTCAAGAGTTGACATCTTCTTCCTCTTTAAGGAAAAGCAACCACAGGCCCCCCTGAGTTTTGTCTTTAAATGACCTGCAGTGCTTCGCCACACATTATTAAAACACAACATTACTGCATATTGAGAGAGAACAGAGTGTGTTCATTCCCAAAAATTCCTGTGTGTACAGGAATTCCAACATAATACCATTAATGAAATGAAAGGCAACGTGACAACATCCTGACCTTGGAAATGTCATGTAATGTAAGACATTAACGACACAATTGTATTTCAGTATCAGATCTTCCCTCGTCATTGTAACCTTAATGTAAAAAGGCAGATTCTTAACACCTGAATAAAACTGTGTTTTTGGTATTTAGGCAGTGAACGATGTATCAAATTTACTTAATTGCAAAATACATTATAATCTGATCATGTGATAATGTCAGCTCTGAAACAAAGTATGATTCTGAAGCTTTTAAAACATGAACTGGAATACCTGAAAAAAACATATCCTACTCAGGACATGGAGATTTGGACTGGATAAAAATGTATTTTAAAGTATATGAATATGAAGGATAATATTGGTTTAGTTTGGAGTTAAACTGGTCATAAGTAATGCTGGTGTAATGTCGTATCCTGAGCTTAAAAACAATGGAACCGACCACAATTTTTCACAAAGGTAGGATGCTTCATAATGGATTTTTTGCCAATATGCAACGGTGACATTTTACAAAAACAATCTTTGGTTTACTTTGTTTCCTTCCTTTAAAAACATAGAACTGATTGTGTTACACCTCATCCCCAAAATTGATTAAAGTCCTGTACAGAATCCTCTGATTAAACACTGCTATGTGAAAACCTGTGTGCACCCACTGAACCTTATTAATCTCTTCTATGCCATAGGTTTGTTGTTGGACCAATAATTTAAGTCACTTGAGCCCAAAACATGATTCATTTTTGTAAAATAAGTGTAAATGTATATTGAAAACTAGGAAATATTTAAACACTTTCAAATCATTTAAATATGTTCATAGCTATATATAATTGTTTTTTTCACAAGGTTAATGGGTGCACATTCGGTCACACATCTACACCTTCGCAACACAGACCACTAATCAATATAATATACTGTATATAACTCTTGTTACTCTCATCTACAATGTACAGATGTCTGTTTGCAACAGTTGTTTGAGGAACGGCAACAGGATAATGAGGTTCATGTGCATATTAATGATTTTTAATTGTCACCCCACCATCTGAAAGTGCCTATGAATCCTGCTGGCACTTTCATCGGGGATTTAACCCACAACCCTTCACACTTGCTAGGTTGTGGGTCAAGGCCACTAATGTGCAAGGCGTCATTTGAGGAGCAGCATCTCATCTCATCTCTGAGGCTGAGGCTTCCATCTTTGGTCTAATGTGTTTTGATTATTTCCTCTGTAACCTCCTGCCACAGAGACTATGTTTACAGATGAAAATAAAGTATGTTAGGAAACAACTCTTTGGGTCATAGCGTCACTGTCACCGCAGCACATTGGCTGATAATACAAAACTACTTTGCGGACAAGTGCTAATCTTTCTCTACTCTACAGCAAAGCAAAAATACTATGTAGAACACAAGTTACTACAGTGTGTACTCAGTAGTACATATCTTCTAACAAAAATATATACTTTTTAAATTGAATTCACTCACTTCTTTTGTTACATCTCTGATTAATCACTTCTATAGCTTTTACTACGACCATACTTCATGTGCTAGCTCCCAGTGTGGAGCTTCTCCCTCATTGAGATTAGGCTTTGGTTTCAGCTTCTGAGGGAAGGGCTCCACACTCAGGCCCAGTTGTAAAGCTTTTCTGTACCGACATGCCCACGTAATCACTTCTGGTGTAAATCTTTACATACCACAAAGGAAGAAGTCAATAAAAAGCAAATATTGTCAGACCTGAGGTGAAACCACAGAGGGAACCACACAATAAAAAAAGATACATTCATAGCATATTCTCATAGGCAATCACACACTACACTGGTTTAGTACTGAGAAGATACCCTGTCTGTTCAGCATGTAGCACTACATGACTTTACAAATGTACTAAACCTTTTCCCTGAGTTTAGGAAAACAATGGAACAATAAAATAAAGACATTTAAATGAGGTAGTATAAAACAGGAGTAACTAGGGCAGCTGCACTGTGACATATAAAAGAAGATGTTAACAGTTAGTGTTTACGATGGCAATCAACGATGGATGAAAATGGTAAGGAATAAACTCTTAATACTGGCTCAGTTCCTCAGCAGCATCTGAGGAGATAAATATGAAAACTAATTTTCATTTCTTGATTCCACACACCAGGTCAGCAAGAAAAAGAAGCTGCAGCGCCCTCGCTATCCAACAAATCAAAAAGCAACTGGAAAAAACAAACTTGTACGAGCCTTAGAAAGTACAGGTAACGTAAGTGAAGCAGTCCATCACATAGCATAGGTATAAGTAGGTATTAAATACACAGTGGGAAGTTTACCCGCAGGTAAACTGAGGTAGGTAATCAGCGAAAATCAGGAGTCACTATTCCCTATCGCTCCAGTGATAAACTCTCTTAAATAATGTCAGAAATGGTCTCCCAATCTCCACATTTCTGACAATTGTTTTAAACATTCATGGTGGGTGAGGATTTCTTTAAAAAAAACATAAAAATGTAAATCAAGAGAGAAAAAACAAGGACAGAAAAGTAAAGACAGACAGTAAAGAAAGCAGTTGATCCCTGCTGCCAACACAGGGTAAGGCATTTGTTTGGCTTCCTGATCACTGGGTGAAAAGAGGAGGAGGTTAAGGAAAGGAGGTCTCTTTATCTGTGTTTTTCTTTGCACTTCTCCCACTCATACTAACACTGACATTCAGGCAATGGTTGGGACCTGGATTTTTTTTTAACTTTTTGTTCTGTTGAATGTTGAATGGCAAATCAGATTCCAACTGGGGAAATATTTCGGTGCCCATCCAAACCACAAACTCAACCTGCACTTGGCAGATCTCTCTTAGAAATTTAATCATGTCAAGAATTACATGACAAATCTGTCCTTCATCTGAAAACATTTGTTCTGTCAAGAATTAAACATCTGTCCTTCATCTGAAAACATTTGTTGAATGTTTGGTGTTTTCATTTTTACCCCATAGTCCTAACAAAACAAAAAAACATTAGTTGTTAGGTTGTAACTGGTTGGATTTAAACACTGCTATGTTAAGAAGCAAGGGTGTCCCACAGCTCTGTGCTTCTTAACAAAGCACAATTTCTGATTTTTAATGGAGACTGTTAATGTATACTTCTCAATTGAGTTCTGAAATAAAAAAATAATATACCACTGCCTTCACACTCACATCTCTCACACACATCTCACACAGACAAACTCACACACTGGAGAGAAAGTGCAGACTGAGAACTGTTGTGGGCCTCACGCTGACAGAAGCCATCCTCCATAGGCTCCCACAGCTTCCTGTGGTCCTGACGTTCTTCCATCACTTGGTTGTGTCCTTCTACATCAACAGTACAGTCGGAGCCTCTACTCTCCATTGCGGTCAAAGATGGAAGATGGCTGCTCGCTCCAGAAGACAGGTCGGTCATGTCGATCTCATCGTGAGAGTAGCGACCTGAGTCACTGGTGGCGTGACTTCCTTCGCTGTTGGAAGATCCCTCGGAATCGCCTGGATGGCAGAGCAGGCCTTGCAGAGTGCTGGTCTGGTCTTGAGAAATGGACAATTCCTCCTGATATGTCAAGACTGTGGAGCCAGGCTGGTAGGAGATGGCTTCATGTCCCATACTCTGAAGCACAAAAATGTACATAAACAAGAGCACACAGTTCTTTAGACTTAGCCTAAACTCAGCCTCAACTCAAAATGTCATGGGTGTCTTCGTTTGAAAGTATCTGAAGTCTTCTGTGTTCAAGAAAAATACATTTTCTAGGCTGTGATGTAGTCAATTTTTTTGGGTTTATAGAACATATTCTTATATTCTCAAACAATAAAAACAAAATAAAAATGCTTATTCAAGTGTCTTTATTGTCTTTAATGTTAGAATATTTTCTTTTAGAAACTTTTTTTGTGCAGTGGAATGGTTGTGTTTTAAGTTTTATTTTATATGCTTTTGCTGGTGTGGTTTTAAAATGCTGTAGAGCAGCTGCCTTGAAGGTTAACAAGTGTGTTGAATAATAATTATTATTATTGCTGTTGTCATTATTGTAAACAACAATATATATTCTGATCCTATTCAACACTACTGAAAGTGACAGGACAACTTCAGATGAGTGTTTTGTTAAGAGGCAAAAATGGCAAAAACTAGTGAGTGTATTTATATCTTAAAATACTCCAGTATATCATACAACAACTGACCGATACAAAAATATCTCTCAGAGTGGATTCATAATTATGATATGAGAAGATTTGTTTTTGCCTCAATATATATACACTGAGCAGAGCGTAAACCTAAAAAACAGAGGTGTAAGACTCATGTGTTTATGGACTCTCACTTAAGATAAGGAGAATGTCAGTTAAGACCTTGCACTGTGGAAAACAAGCAGAATTGACCATGCCTTATCATGCTTACCTGTACTGGTTTGCCATCTTTTTTCACATTACTGCCAAAGCAAAACCATTTCTTTTTCTTCTCAGTACCTATTTGAACCGGACCAAGAGAGTTAATAATGAGATTTGTTCCACCCTGCAAGAGACAAAAGGAGAAAAGTATAAAGGAAGAGGAAAGAGAAAAATAAAGTTTAAGAACATCGTCTAGAAATATACTTTAAATGTGATGTGTAAAATTACATAAACAGATATTTAACCCAAACCATTTTTAGGGACCCATCACCATCTGTACATCTCATCCCAAAAGACTTCAATTTTTCTAAAGTTCTTCTAGATTCCAGTGCTTTGCCCTATGATACTAAGTATATTTAGAGAGACATTTGTACCTTTGTATCAATGAAATGATTCTGATGGTTCATCATGGGCGTAGTCACATCAGTGTTTTCAGGCTGACCCTCAGTTGAAGTAGTTGCATTGGCTTCTTTCACAGCAGAAGATTTTCTAGATGCAAACAAACAAACAAACATGGTGTCACTGCAGGCTAAAGATTTAAGTCAAATGTTGTGTCCAGTCTGAAAATGTACCTGTTCTTGCCTCTACAGACAATAATGAAGGCACAGATGATAATGCACATGAGAGCAATGCAAACCCCCACAGTGATACCCGTTACTGATTTCTCATCCAGGTGATAGAAACCATCTGAGAAGGCTGTGACGGAGGAAGAGAACGATGTCAGATGAAGTGTACAACCTGTGATTGATATATGTGAGGAAATCTGATGAAGTCATTCTGTCAAGACAACAGTCCTGCACTGACCTGTGGAGAGCCGTTGGTCGGTGGAGAAATCTGACCACACTTTAAGCTCCACTGTGTTGGAATATGGTCCATCACCCATGTCATTGGATGCAGAGACTTTGACCAGATAAACATGACCAGGCTTTAGGTTCTCCAGCAGGGCCATGGTTATAGTTCCTGTGGGTAATGACATACCTTTGGTGTTTATGCACTTTAAACTGTGAAAACCAATTTATGTTTTTACATGGAAATGGTTTGCCACAACCTACATTCTGCACTGTAATAATTTAATTGGATGGATGTACTTTTAGTAACAGTAAGTAAGAAGAAACCAATCACCCCAGCTCAGCCTTAAGACTGAAAATTAGATTGAAAACAGTCAGTCTAGTCAGATCCCCAAAACAGGGGATCAATCTTTTATCCAATACCAACCAGTCTCTAAGTCTGCAGGCTCCCAGCAGGGACTGAAGGGGGTTTGATGTTAAGGTTATATTGGTCTAGTTTTAACCATGTGGGCTTTGTGATCAGATTTACTTTTGCCTCCCAGCAAATGCAAAAACAAAAAACACTCTT